AAATGTCATAGCATAAGTATAATAGAAGTTGATTTCCTGCTCAGTGATTGTTTAGAGGGAATGTCAGGTTGATGCACTGCTCTCCTCCATAAGGTGTTTTGGGGACCCAGGTTCTTCCATCTGGTGGCTTTGCTGCCTCTTAAGGCCTTGTCATAGTCTGCATGCAGCTGGTGGAGGGGAGAGTATGGAGGAAGCATGCCAATTTCATAAAAGCCTCCGCCAGGAAGTGGCACTTACAACTTACACATCGTGTTTGACAGCTGATGTCCTGTGTTAACGGAGCCTCAGGGAGAGGGGAGGGGGGTAGAAGTGGGAGGAAATGTAGCTCTTCACTAGGCAGATGCTTTGTAGCTATGGTTCAGATACTGTGGACAAGGAGAACTGATGTTGGGAGCAACTGTCTCTGTCTCTAGAACCATTGTGAAAACGTAAGTCAGAGATTAGAGAAGATATAAAGGAAAACTGTATGGCGCTTCCATTTCCTTTCCATCTGATTAGCAAGATGTCTGATAACACCAAGTGTTGGCAAGGTCTGGGAACTCAGGAAACCTTCGAACACCGTTAGGTATCCATCACAGCGCAGGGAGGAGTGGTGTGGAAGGATATTCGGCAGCAAAGAGCAGAAACAAACACCTGTTTCTCAGTTAAAAAAAAAAAATGATATGTCAAGTACTGTTAATTAGTATGACAGAATATTATTCACCTGTTAAAATGAATGAACCATATCTACATGTATCAAGCTAGATTTCTCAATGTGGTATTGAATGAAAAGTCCAGGTGTTGGGGGAACAGTGCATTTATGTACTTTCAAAAATAGCTTATATTGTTTATCAAAACGTATATGTTTAAAAAGATGAAAACGCATATGGGAATCTATTTGGCAGTTTCAACTTATTTTTTTTTTCTTGGCAGAGAGGAAAGAGGGTGGGTCTTTAGCCTTACCACTAATGAATTATAAGATATTTGAAGCAAATATACAAGGCTAATACCTCTTTAATTTTGGTGTGGGTTGCAGTTGATCATATTTTATTTTTTGTAAATTTTTTAAGCATTTAAAATGGACCATTAATAATTAGAACATTTCAAAATTTTTAGAATGGGAAAGAATGAATGAGAAGGTGTGGTGTGTTTATATACCATGACGTACTACTCAGCCATAAAAATAGAATGAAATCTTGCCATTTGCAATGATGTGGACAGAGCTAGAGAGCATTATGCTAAGTGAAAGAAGTCAGTCAGAGAAAGACAAATACCATAGGATCTTACTCATACGTGGAATTTAAGAAACAAAACAAATGAACGAAATTAAAAAAGAGAAAGAGGCAAACCAAGAAACAGACTCTTAACTACAGAGAACAATCTGACGGTGACCAGAGGGGGGTGGGGAATGGGTGACATAAGTAATGGGGATTAAGGAGGGGACTTGCTGTGACGAGCACTGGGTGATGTATTGTGTCGGATCACTGTACTGTACACCTCAAACTAATACTATATTTTCAGTTAACTGGACTTTGAAACAAAACTTAAACACATGAAAACAACTTTTGGCATTTCTTATCATTAGAAGTAGCACACAAATGGAAAGCAAAGATGAAAAGAGGAAGAGAGAAGCCTATTATTTCTTTTCTGATTTTATGGTTGACTAGATAGCTAGTCCTTAGTGCCAGTAGCATATAAAATTTTTATTTTAACTTTTCTGATATGAGTGTAATTCTAGAAAACAATCCCTTATGAACACATAATTTAGTGGAGTGTAAATGTCTCTTTTTGAAATGTTCTCTTTTCTTAATAGTGTATTCTAAATATTTTAGCATGCCATTTTTTTAGGAGCTTATTTCTGAATAATTGCCTATTTTGCTATCGTATGAAACTTATTTAACCAGAGTCTCCCTGTCTCTCCAGTCATCGTTACTTCTGTCTCCTTTCTTTTGGCAACCCCTTGCATTTTGCTCTCCTCTTTTTGTTCCGGGGAGAAAAATGAAGTATTCTTTTATTACACAGTTGAGTTTGCAAAGGGAAGTGTTTAGTCAAATGAGATTTTGCAGGTTTGGCAATACATGATATTTAGTAATTAGATGCTGTGTCTTTGGTTGCGTATTTGTCTGTTGGGTTCTAAAAGGTGACCACTCAGGGAAATTGGCCAGGCTATATCAGTATAAATTTTTCTGGTGAGTAAAGGTGAGTTACAGAACATTTAACATAGAGCTTTGCCATGTTATTGAATATGAAAGCCACAAGCTTCATGTGGGTGTTTAAATTTGAATTAATAAAAAATAAAATTCAAAATTCAGTTCCTTCAGTAAGCTAGACACAGTTCAAGTGCTTGGTAGACACACGTGGCTAGTGTCTGACCATGTGGACAAACAGGTACAGAACGTTTTCAACATCACGAAGAGTTCTGTTGGACCACCTTGGGGTGAAGTTTATATGTGTTACCTGTTCTGTTAGAATTTAAAAATCATTTTTGTTTTTAATTTTCTTCCTGGATATTATAAATGCCAGTAAAAGTCACTGATTTTGGAAACTGTCAACAGCTCAAAATTACTTAATTTTTACTTTGCTATCAACTTAATATTTAAAATTATGTCCTGAAGTAAAACATGTATCAACCTAGGGTTACTAGCATTTAGAAATTCTAGAACATTTAAAACTTTAAAAAAATTTTTTATTTTATTTTAGATTTTATTTATTTGACAGACAGAGATCACAAGTAGGTAGAGAGATAGGCAGAGAGAGAGGAGGAAGCATGCTACATGCTGAGCAGAGAGCCCGATGCAGGGCTCGATGCCAGGACCCTGGGACCATAACCTGAGCCGAAGGCAGAGGCTTTAACCCACTGAGCCACCCAGCTGCCCCCAAACTTTTTTTTTTAAAGATCTTTCTTATTTATTTGAGAGAGAGAAGGAAAGTACACAAGGAGAGTGAGAGGGAGAAGCTGACTCCCCCCCTGAGTAGGGAGTCCAATATTGGACTCGACCCAAGGACCCTGAGATCATGACCTGAGCCGAAGGCAGATGCTTAACTGAGCCACCCGTATGTTCCCTAAAAACTCTTGATATAATACAAAGTCCCCAGGTGGGCAGGGTAGGGGTATGCTCTCAGATGTCTTGGATGAAGATCTAAAGAAGATGAGGTGGAAAGAGGGGCTCATTGTTTTAAAAGATGCCCAGAAGATGCTTAATTTGGGACATATAGTTTTAAATTGTAATTACAGTATGGCCTCAATAGAAATTAATCTGGAGAAATTAAGAAATGCTGGAAAGAAAAAATACAGGGGCAGGGGATGTGTGGAGAGGAACTGCCCCTAATCGTGTAGCCATTGGGAACAGCCAGCATTACTTACCATGTACCCGCCAAGCCTCCTCTCTGTCCTGCTCACCAGCAGTGAATGAGGTCAGTGAAGAAGGCAGCTGAGATGGAAGTCTGAGAGGCAGGCAAGGGATTAAAATACAAAACTCACTGAAGACTATATTACTGATAGTACTGATCACTATTTTAATTTTCTTTTTCCGGTCACTAGTATGTAGGGAACACAGACCCTTGGTATGAACCTAGTAAGTATGACCCTCCATACTTCCTGTTGCAGGGAAGCGGATGTTGAAATAAGAAAGCTAAAAGAGTTGTATGAGAGGCTAAGCTCAGTATTCTATGATAGTATTTGTTGGGGTGATCTAATTTTTGATAATGACTCAAGCAAAATTAATTTAGCTCTTAGGTTGGATGGTTTTGTTTTAAATTATACTTTTAATAGTTTCTCACATCAAATCTTGCTCCTTTCAGAGCTTGTATTCTTTAAAGATTGGTTTATTACCCTATGGTGATTAATGTTGGAAGATTCCAAGATTTTAAGTAAAAATGTGGCCCTGATAATTCTGGTAATATCATAAGTGTCAAAATTCTTTCCCTGATACTTTGCATTGAGGGCCAGGTTGCCAAAAAGGTAATAGAATCCTCTCTAAGCAATAGCATCTGGCTAATCAAAATAAAATCTATCTTCCAGACTTTTACAAGAGAGTTTGGTTAGGCTTTGAGTCTAATTAAAGAGTCGATTACTTGATACCTATGAGTGTGTTATGTGATACCTGTTAAAAACTGGAAATTCTGAGTTTTTTTTTAATATCTAGTGGGGGTAATTTTTTCAATTATAAATAAGAGGGTCAAGTAAGTTTTCAAGTATAACATTGTAAGGACAGCTATGTAAGAGCCGAAATGGATAAAACTTAAGAGCCAACAGTTTCGCATTTGTCAAAGCGTCTTGCATTTCTTAATGATAATACTAGATTTTTTTTTAAGGAACTCTGTTTGTCTTATAATGCATTATAATATAATCTTGCCTTTGTGTTTTTGAGGGGAATGATGGGAAAGGAAGGACCAAATTTTATTTGATAATATAATTTTATTCTTGTTTTATAGTGCAGAAAATTATTTCAGCGGAACAGTTATGAGAAATGTCTGTATGAGCAATCCCTTTGTTTCTTAGAAGTTTGAATTTGTGGGGGAAGGTTGACAATTAAGGGGAAAAAAAGTCTAAAAAGAAGAGCGTGCTGGGAAAGGAGTTCCCAGAGCGCACCAGCTCCCATGTTCTTGACGGTGGTCACATACCAACCTGTCAGGATGGGGTGCCGGCTTATCACTTGGCTTTAATCATAATTTATGTGTTTAGCAGGAATATAAACTACAGTCTTTAAGTATTGAAACGCTATGTTTTAGAAATGACAGATTTTGTAAAACTAGCAATTATTCAGGGGAAAAACAAAGGTTTACGTCTTCTGTGGGTTCACTTTGATAACATTCCCCCTGGCCTCCCCATTTGACATCGCGTTAGAAACACTCGCTCGTATGTGAATTACACACACGAATTTGTCCTCTGTAGGTTTATAGGAACATAGAATTTTTCTTTGAAGGTTTAGTGGATCAGTTTTTATTCGTGGCGATAAAAATCTTCAAATATCTCGCTTTTGGCTAGCAGGTGAACTTATATTCATTTGCGTTTCTTCCAGATTCACGAAAAACTCCACTACTACGAGAAGCAGAACCCCGTGCCCATCCTCCACGGCGCAGCGGTCTTGGCCGATGACGTAAGTGTGCCTTCCTGAGCTCCCCGGGACGCGGCTCCCCCAGGCCTGGCAGGGGCAGAGCTCATCCTGGCGCAGACTGATGCGTGCGATCCTAGGAGCGAAAACCAGGAGAAGCTGCAAATGTTTCCAGAAGGCCTGTCATCACAGAGCTTATGCGGATACTATGCTGATTTTCATTCACTCTCCTGCTCTAAAAATTTTGCCTGGAGATAACTAACCCTCTCGCTCTCCCTCGGTAACTACGTACTAGAAATTTTAGCCTGCAACTCTCCAGGGAGAGAGAGAGAAGCTGTCAGCTAGGAGTGTTCTGAGAAAGTCACAGGCAAGAGGAATGCTTTGGAGAAATAAAGACAAATGAGATAGGTCTATTGCTGACAGTGCTAAAAAATGACAGATACCAGTATAGGAACGAGGCCTTCTGAAATACATAAAAAGAAAGGATTGTTTTTAAAATGGATTATAAAGCACAGTAATGATTTATGGATATTAGACCTTTCCAAATTACCTTCATAACCAAAAAATAAATTTTAGCAGCAGTTGGCATTGATGGAGAAGTTAATTTCCTGTAGCTATAATTTTATTTTCAATCTGGGGGAGGAACTACCTTGCTGATTCTTACTGTTAACTTTCAAACTCGGATGAATTGGAAACACACCTGGATAAACTATAAAGGACACTGAGCCAGACGAGAAATGGGTCTCGTGTGAAGGTGGGTTTTAACGATACCCTGTAGCTTATCTGTGGTTATGATAAAACAGGCCATTGTACAGTTTAGTAAAATATTGGGGCCCTAGAATTGAAAAAAAAGAAAAAAAAACCTGACCATCTTCGGGAGTTGATTTTCTTAATATATGTTTTCTATTTTAATTTAGATAATATAGCACATGGAATATATCTCTAAGTGGTTTATTTGTTTAGTCCCCAGTCTCCCTTCCAGTTTTATTCACAGAGATTACAAATTATAGAGATGTTTCAGTTTGTGTTTTATGAGGAGTTTATGAAGTAAAGAACCAGAATTTTTGAAGTGAAGGGGAGTAAAGGTATAGAGAGAATTCTAGTAAGCTGCGGTTGGCCCTTGAGAAAGTCTTAAAATTTATCACTTTAAAAACATTTACTGTTGAGGGTTTGGGGAAATATTTGTTACTTTCCAATGTGATTGAGGCCCAATCATATTATGACAATATTGCTTTTTAAAAAAATTAGAGACTGTTATATGAATAGGGTAAAATGTAGCATGTTCTAATTCATCAGAGCAATATATTTAAATTTAAAAAATATTGTTACCAAGCGACTAAAGAATGCGAAGAGCCTTTTGTGACTTCTTGTGAGTTAACAATTATATATAATGATTATTTTACCTTGAAAAACAAAAATTTTACCTTGGAAAAGTAAAATCACTTTTTGAATTATAACCAATGAATATATCCATTTTATCAGGTTTTATTTTTGTGTATAATTCTATGATGTCCTTCTTTTAGAGAAAAGTCCTTCTCCAGAGATAAGAACAATTATTTTTAGCTTGGTAGAAACCATAGGAGCAAATAGAAATTTCATGCAGTGTTTTACGAAGGGTTTTTAAAATGAAAATATATGCACATATTTTGAATTCTGTACTGCATACTTCACAATTGTAATTTCTTTTTCTATTTGGTCTTGTTTTTCTTCTAAGGAAATTATATGATCTTTACTATAGCCTAAAATGGAATAGTGTTGATAGGAAGACCTCTTCTTAGGAACATGAGGCGCGTTCAAAGTTCCAATCCTTTCTTTACTAAAATCAGCAAAAATTCTTGATTGTTACAGTAGAATATAGTCAGCCTTTCTGTCCCCAGAGTACTTGTCAACCTATTGTAAGTCATTTTGTGATTAACCTGGTTTATAAGTAATGGATTTTTTAGTCTGTGTAGGTAAATATAATAAAAGTTTCAGAGCATTTGCTCTATCAGAGGCATTCTGGTTCTTTTTTCCTCCAGCTCTAAACAGCAAGCTACTGTGGGTTTTTGGAAACCCTGTGGATTTCACCACCTCATTCAGAAACTTTTTTTTCTTTCATTTTTTTTTCTTTTTCTTTCTTTCTCTCTTTTTTAAAAATAGTGTCAAAGCCTGATCCAATCCTTTTCACAAGTAGTCCTTTGTTTGCTTGCAAAAGACCTTTCCTTAAGATGAAGTGCTGGGATTTACCCTCATTGCCATAAATCAGAGAAGGTGAGCTGGCTGATAGGATTTTTTGAATTATACTCAGCCAAGATCCTGGTCTGGGATCTGGGCTACCAGGGGCCTGAAAAGAGGAGCAGTGATTGATCGTCTGTTTTCTTTCATGCCGACTTCTCCTTAATCACTGGAAAGTGGCAAGATAGATTCTCAGTTGTCACACGTGGAACTACACAAGGCTCTTACTAAATGTTCTCTCTGTCCATGTGATCTCCCTTGCAGCTAGCTGAAGAGCTTCAGAACAAGCCATTAAACAGTGAGATCAGAGAGCTGTTGAAACTACTGTCAAAACCCAATGTGAAGGTGAGGACGTGTAAGAAATACCTTCCAGAAGGGCCACTTTCTGAGACTTCAGATGAATTTTATTTTGAGCATCAATTTTCAAGTGAATGTATTTTCAAACAGTGTGCAGTATTTTAATAACCTAAATTCCATTAAGGAAAAAAAGTTGAGTTTTTTGATGATAACGGGACCAACTACAGATGATTTAAGTTGGGAAGCTCAGGATTTAAGTTGTTGAATGTAATGTCATTTCAAGGTCAATTTCTTTTTAAATGAGGGTAAGAGTACAGAATACAACCTATTAGTGATTTTGTTTAGGTTCATTTTATTTCATTGTTGAGTGGTATTCCAAGATATTTGACACCTGTATCTATTTTGCTATAGGATCATTTCATCTTTCCTCTTTCCCCTCCCTCTTTGTCTTCCCCATCTCCTCTCCCTCTACTGATTCATGTTTTAATATATACTACCATTTTGCTGAGCAGAGCAGTTTTCCAGTGTAAAATACTAGTAAAATATTGGTGGGCAGATTTCAATTCTCCTTGCCATTTTTTTATTGAAGAATAGTTGACATAACAACATTGTATTAGTTTCAGGTGTACAGCATAGTGATCTGATATTTATATGCATTACAAAATGGTCACTGCAATTAGTCTAGTTACTGTCTGCCGTCATACAAAGTTGTTACAGTATTACTGACTTTTTTTTTTCCCCTCTGTGGTATATTACACTCCCGTGTCTTACATATTTTATAACTGAAAATCTCTTCATTTCCTTCATCTATTTCATCCCTTCCTTGCCATTTTTCTTCCAGGTATATCATTTATCTTTCCTCTAAAGGTGCTTGGTCAGCAGAAGTCATTTCAAAAATTTCCTATTAATTCTAAATTCATTAATGCACTAAATCCTATAACCTGTACATTTTGGACTTGATACTGTTTCACAATTACATGTGAGGTATTATTCCATGAATGAATTACATGTGGATTATGTAATTCAAATGATCATTTATCTTTTTTTTTTTAAAGATTTATTTATTTGAAAGCATGCAAGTTGAGGGGGAGGGGTAGAATGAGAGGGAGACTGTCCCGCAGACTCCCTGGACTTGGTGCTTGATCTCACGACTTGGTGCTCGATCTCACAACCCTGAGATCATGACCCGAACTGAAACCAAGAGTTGGAGGCTCAACTGACTGAGCCACCGAGGCACCCCAGAATGATCAATTATCTTATGACAGTTTCTATTAAACATATCTAGGCTCTCAGATGAATATTTCTGTCTAGATGCAAAAATTGATTTCTGCCTTCCTTGAAAAATCTCCTTTGGAACTGTGCTATAATGGCTTCAATTGATGGTCAAAAAAGGTAGTATTAAATAAAAGATGAACTGAAAACATGAACCAGCTTTAATTCCTAATCCTTAGAAGTAAAGTAAGTGCTGTCAATTAATAAATGGGCTATAATTAGTAATTTAGAGTAATTGACTTACACTGGTACAGAGGAGATTGGTTGAATTTTAGTTCTAAAAGAATAAGGATCAACTTCGAGCAAAATATCTGCTTGAAATTAAAGACAATATTTGTAGAAAGGTTAAGAGCTCAGAAGAGATTGATAGCCAGAGAAAGTTCTGAAATGTCTTCATTTCATCTCCGAGTACACATGAGAAGTTGATGCGAACCCAAGAATGGTGAGGTTAGCTCTGAGCAACCTGTTAAACTCCTCCTTGAGAGCGCCACCTTGGTTTGCATATTAGGAATTGAAGAAGAATGTTTCTAACAAAACAACATGATTTTGGTATTCTTTTTTAAGAGTGTTTGGAGCGGAGTAGCTAATAAGGAAGAGGTTATACTGGGTGGAAACTGGTATGTGGCTCGAAAGGGAGGTATGATTTTTTATTATATTTAGCACTCTTGGATACAACCTTATAATTAAATCCTGAAACTTTGTTATGCTGAAAATATTTTAGATAAATACTTTTAAAACTTTGTATGTTTATGTAGCCATGGGATAAAAGAATGGGTGAGAAGCCATCATGAAAGATGTATTTTCAGGGAGTGATGTGTGGGAAGTGGGTCAGATTGTGGACGGCTGAAGTTGCAGTTGTCAGTGACAATTTCTAGTTCCAGTCTTGGGGACAGCAATCTTCCTTCCCTTTATCACCTAACATTTAGCATTGCTTTCCTTGAAATCAATTATATTAACTAGCATCAACTTGAATTTCACTTTTTTTTAGGCAGTTACTTTAAGAAGTCATTTAGTAAACTAAAATGTTTGCTTTTCTTTTTTTTTTTTTCTCCAAAAGCAGAAGCAAGGTGTAGTAGAATAGGACAGGTACACATGAATTAAAAGTTGAACCGACAGTTTAAATATGGAAAGTGTAACTCCAGGGTGTTAACTTGGATACTGTTTTTGAATTTTTAGTGGACAAGGGAAGTAATTATTTACTTGTTAAAGATGGCTGTTCCATTTAAAATATTCAGTTCACGGGGCGCCTGGGTGGCTCAGTGGGTTAAGGCCGCTGCCTTCAGCCCGGGTCGTGATCCCGGGGTCCTGGGATCGAGCCCCGCGTCGGGCTCTCTGCTCAGCGGGGAGCCTGCTTCCCTTCCTCTCTCTCTCTGCCTGCCTCTCTGCCTACTTGTGGTCTCTGTCTGTCAAATTAAAAAAAAAAAAATCTAAAAAAATATTCAGTTCACGATAGTGAAAAGGAACCTGAGGTGTACGTCCAAGTAATAGTGATTTTTTTGTAAACACACAGAGATAAATACAACCAAATATATAGCCACTATGAGAAGGACAATATGTGTATCCTACAGATCTGCCAATTCCTTTTTGAAAAACTTCAATTTGAAATATTTTTTTAAAATTTTACTTCATTTTTTTCGGTGTTCCAAGAGTCATTGTTTATGCACCACATCCCGTGCTCCATGCAATATGTGCCCTCCTTAATACCCACCACCAGGCTCACCCAACCCCCTACCCTTCTCCCCTCCCCTCCAAAACCCTCAGTTTGCTTCTCAGAGTCCAGTCTCCCATGGTTTGTATCCCCCTCCGATTTCCCCCAACTCCCATCTCCTCTCCATCTCCCCATGTCCTCCATGTTATTTGTTATGCTCCACAAATAAGTGAAACCATATGATAACTGACTCTCTCTGCTTGGCTTATTTCACTCAGCATAATCTCCTGCAGTCCCGTCCATGTTGATACAAAAGTTGGGTACTCATCCTTTCTGATGGAGGCATAATACTCCGTTGTATATATGGACCACATCTTCCTTATTCATTTGTCTGTTGAAGGGCATCTTGGTTCTTTCCACAGTTTGGTGACTGTGGCCATTGCTGCTATGAACATTGGGGTACAGGTGGCCTTCTTTTCACTACATCTGTATCTTTGGGGTAAATATCTAGTAGTGCAATTGCAGGGCCATAGGGAAGCTAAGAGCAGTGGAAAGTCATTGAAAGGATTTAAGTAGGCAAATGACACAGTTGCTCTAGTATACAGATTCTTGGAGTGGAGGGGTGGTGGTAAGGTGGGAGGAGTGGATGCTGAATGGAGGAAGGCCATCTGGAAGCCTGTGGAAGTAATTCAGGTGAAACATGGTTATGGCCTTAGTGAAGGATGTGAGGGATGGATGGAAGTGGGGGATGGGTGGAACTGGATGTAGCTTCAATACATGGTATTGGCACACGTGGTTAATTATTGGGAAAAAATAACCTATGTAGAATGCATATTATATGTAATATACAATGAATTCCAAATAAATTAAAGATTTGAGTGTAAAGGAATTGAACCATAATCATGGGATAAAGAAGAAATATTCACAATCTCAGGAAGACAGACAGACAGACAGACACACACACACACACACAGAGGAAAAATTTATAAAAAATTCATGAATGTGGTTAGAAGGAATTATTTATTTATATAAACAATCTACATTTGTCTTTAATAAGGTTGTGATCATTTATTACTTTGACTTTAATTTACTTTCTACAAAGGGATTTGATAAAGAAACCAAATAAAATAAATTTTCTTGATAATGTGTAATTGTATTTTTAAGTCCAACTATGGAGAAAGTAGAAGTTCCTATTTTCATTGCTCTGTTTGGGAAGATGATACACATTTCACAGACAAAATAGAAGGTCATTAAATATATGGCATGATGTTCATCTTCAGTTTGGATCATGGTCCTGGGGTCCTGGGTTCCATTTTCTTATTGGGCTCCTGACTCTCCCTCTCCCTGCACCCTGCTTATGCTCTCTCTCACTCTCTCTCTCCAAGAACAAACAAACAAACAAAAGATTGAGAGAGAGCTGGGGGGTAAGGGTAGAGGGAGAGGGAGAGATAGAATCTCAAGCAGACCCTCTACTGACCATGTAGCCCGACACGGGCTTTGATCCCACAACCCCAAGATCATGACCTGAGTTGAAATCAAGATTCTGATGCTTAGCCAACTTAGTCACCCAGGTGCTTCTGCATTTTTTTCCATTATAAATAGAATGTACTACTTTTTGTTTTGTATTATTTTGTGGATTTTTAATATTATGGTATTTTGTGGACTTGTCTTTCAAGCAACATAATTGTCCACCTCTAAGAGATAAGTTAGATAACTCTGCTTTTTTTTTGTTTTTTAAATAGCACTATAATTCACATCTCCCATATTTCAGAATTTTATTGAGTCAATAAGTTGCTGAACTAAAATATCTGTACATTTAAAATTTTGATAGTGATTGCCAGCTTGCCCTTCGCCATAATCTGGACAGGTCCTCTCAGTGTACAGTGCCCACAGGTGTGCGTGAGAAGTTCCTTTCCCCTGTGTCTTCACAAGCCCTATTTAATTAATGTTCTTTTCCAGATTTGTTAATTGATCACCCTAGGAATATATGTCAACACTTTCCCTATAGAGCTTGCCACCTTCAAGTCTCCAACGGCTGGGAAGTGCTTGTCATTTTGTAACCATTGTTAAGAGTTAAAGCTTACATCCAGTCATTAAATCTCTGAATGGAGGGATGCCTGGGTTGCTCACTCGGTTAGGCATCTGACTCTTGGTTTTGGCTTAGCTCACGATCTCAGGGTTTTGAGATGGAGCCCTGCTTTGGGCTCTGGGCTCAGTGCAGAGTCTACTTGAGATTCTGTCTCACGCTCCTTCTGAATTCACTTGGTGTGCTCTCTCTCCCCACCCCAAATAAATAAATAAACAAACATTTTAAAAAAAAATCTGTGTATTGGTCAGTTGCCATATGCAAACAATAAGTAATAATTACTCTTATTACTCAATAATGTTTATTAAATCTAGTCTTATTGTCCAAATCTTAAAGTCCAGGAAAAGTAATGAAGCGTCAAAGAAACAACAGATGGTGAGAAAAAGGAAGTAGGGTAGTGAATAGCAGAAGGCCTCAGTAGATGAGATAGGGTGTAGGAGCTTCCTGCAGCAATGGAGTTGGTGGCCTTTGGGGGAGCTGATGAAAGGATGTGGATCTCTACTGAGACTTTGTTTCTACAGGAAGCAAAGAGAGTCATTAATAATAAGAACCACTTGTAAGCATCACATGGCCACATTAAAGGCAAATCAACCTCTGTGAATCACCATTCAGAGGCTCGCTTTTTGATAAAACAGTGAAGTGACATCATCTCTAGAACATAGTATTATAATTTAGAAAGGGAAAATTTGGTAGGTTTTTAAAAGGCAATAAAATAAAAAGATTTGTTGTAGTTTTTCAGCTTTCCAAAACGTGCATTTACCGGAAATTACTCATTGCCTGAGCATGTAGAATGGATGAGACTTTGTTTAAGCATGCAAAAGGGAAAAGTGAAGCTTCCTTCTGGAGGAATAAATCAGTGTTACTCATTCTTATGAGTTAGACACTTAATTTTGTGGACTTGACAGATACTTAGAACATAGAATTGACTCCAGGGGGTCCAGAGCAGTGAAAGGCTGTGTGCCTGATGAGTTACAAGGCCTAGTGTTCAATTTCCTGCATAGTCTTCTAAGTAACAGGTAAACCCATCAGTTGTGATTGGGGTGGTTATGGCATATGGAAATTCAATTTTCTTATTTAGGTGTGTTGTCTTTCAAAAGGACAATCTGTATATTGAAGAATAAATTCATCACAGTTAAAACAGGGAAATAGAATATAAAGTTACTTTTAGTTGTCCAAAATAGAAGTGTTGCTAACCAACAATATTTGTAAAGCAAAACTATTAAGAATTAGAAACTCAATATCTATAAATCTTAAAAATGTATTTTAGAATCCAGACATGGAGATCAATATAAAGCTAAGGAGGAAAAATACATAGCTGCTGTTGTTAATATTGTCTATCGACTATAATTATCACTCTATTTTAAAAGATGTTTGTTAGCGATCTCTAATAGTCTTAACTATGTCCAGGATAGTTTATCACAGATATCCAGGTAGTGAGCATTTCCGATGTCCTTCATTCATCTCTTTATAGATCCATATTCATCCACTATCATTCCTGTCTTCCTGTCTGAAAGACTTCATATACCATTTTTTGTAGTGCAAGTCTCTCTGGTGATAAATTTCTTCAACTTTTGTAGGTCTTTATAAAGTCTTCTCTATCCCTTCATTATTAAAAGATATTTTTGCTGGATATAGAATTTTAGGTTGCTGGTTTTCTTTACATATTTAAAAGGTGTTGCTCTTTTATCTTGTAGCTCACATTGTTTCTGATGTGTGTTGTGATTTTAATCATTTTTTCTTTGGCTGATTTTAAGATTTTTTTCTTTCTCAGTGGTTTTAAGCAATTTGATGTTACTTCTTGTTTGTTTTTGTTTCTTTGTTTGTTTGTGCTTGGATATGTTGAACTTCTTGGACCTAGGGGCTTTTTCCCCCTGTTATCAAATTTGGAATATTTTCTGCCATATTTCTTCATATATTTTTTAGCACCTCTCCTTTCTTTGGAGATGCCAGGTAGGTGTATATAAGTTGTCCCATAGCCCAATAATGTTCTGTTCACAATTTTTTACTCTATTTTCTCTTTGTGTTTTCATTTTGGAGAGTTTATAAATTGTTTTAATTGTAAGCGTTAATTTCATTCAGTGTGCTTTTAAAAAAATTTCATACATTATGTCTTTTATCTCTAGAGGTTTGAATCTTCCATATATATGGCAAATCTCATTTCTAGTGTTTCCTATAGCTCTTTAAGCATTTGGGATACAGTTATAATAATTATTTTAATTTTCTTGTCTGCAGTCTATCTGTAATTTCAGGATTTGGTTTTATATAATTCTGTCATCTGTGTAATTTTCAGGGTTTAGTTCTATGGTGTTACGTTGTTCTTCATTATGTGTAGTTATCTTCTTCTGTCTTCACATGCCTCATAACTTCTGTCAGTAATTGATTGACTCTCAGTTGTTGTGAGTTTTACTTTGAGTGATGATATTTTCATATTTTTATAGATGATATTCTTGAGGGTTTTTTTTTTCTGTTATATAATTAAGTTATGTGGAAATATTTTGATCCTTCAGAGACTTGCTTTTAAGCTTTGTTAGGTGAGATCTTAGCATTGTTTAATCTTGGACTGAGTATTTCCTACTATTAAGACAATATCCCTTTGTTAACTGTCCTCAATGCCCTGTGAATGCCAAGCTTTTCTCCTCTGACTGAAGGAAACAGGAGTTATTCCTGCTCTGTGTGAGCTTTGGGAATTGTTCCCTGTAAGGCAGTGTTTCTTAACTTTATAACTATTGACAATATGGAGCTGGAAATTATTGGGGGGACGGAGCCGGGAAGGCAGGGAACTGCCCTGTATGCTGTCAGAGGTTTAGAACCATCCCTGGCCTCTGTGCACCAAATGGCAGCAGCATCTTCCACTCTGTGACAATCTGAACTGTTTCCAGACATTGCCAAATGGCTACGGGGGAGTAAAATTGTGTTCAGCTGATAACCACTGCAGTAATTGTTTCTGATAATTTTTTTTTATATGCATATGCCTTGGCTGGAGACTCAAAGGGGACCTCCTACAGATCTCCAAAGCCCTGTGCCTGTCCCACCATCTTCTCTTTCATACTCTACCCTGAGAATTTTAGTGCCTTGACCTCCCAGCATTCCTCACTGTGTTGTCTCACCTTAGGGAGACCAGTGGGTTCTGCCTGGATACCTACTTCCCCTACATGGCCACGAAACTCTGGGCTTATGACTCTCAAATTTGTTTCCTGTCTCTCAGTAATCACTGTCCTTCATTGTCTGATGTCCAGTATCTTCCAAAACCATTGTTGCATCTTTTATTTTTTTATTTTTAGGTTTTCTGTCTTCTACTTTTTTCCAGTGGGGTCCCTATTAACTTCATCTTGGCTCTCATCCTCATTCCTGAATGGTATTTTTGCTAATACATAATTCTGGGCTGACTGTTATTTTTTTTCTAAGCACTTTCAAGATATTTCACTGGCTTCTGGTTTCCATTGCTGCTAATCAGTCAGCTCTCAGTCGTTTTTTTTTTTTTTTTCCTTGTATTTTTAAGATCTTCTGTCTTTGGCATTCTGTAGTTTCACTATAATATGTATCTAATCTTGGGTTTCTTTTTATTTCTTTTTTTTTTGTTAAATTTAAATTTTATTATGTTCAGTTAGTCAACATATAGTACATCATTAGTTTCTGGTGCTGAGCAGAGAGCCAGATTCGGGGCTTGATCCCATGACCCTGGGATCATGACCTGAGACAAAGGCAGAGGCTTTAACCCACTGAGCCACCCAGGTGCCCCGTAAGAGCCTCCTTTTCAAATAGTTGCCTGTTATGATTGTTAAGTTAAAATTATAATACGTTTGATTTTCTTTATAGTTGGATGTGCTTGGGATTTTATATTTGATTAATTTTTTCCCAAACGTTGACTTTGCTAGGCTTTGCTCTCTGTACATGATACTGTGGCTCAGAAGAATTACGATCCTGTATTACCGCCGATGCCGGATGATATCGATGATGAAGAAGACTCAGTAAAAATCATTCGTCTGGTCAAAAATAGAGAACCCCTGGTGAGTTGTGGTCTACATTTTGTGCTTAGATATGAATAGATATCATGATATCTATGTCCCCTGGTGGGGACATACCATTTATTCCTCTCTTTGAAACATAATTTTCCTGTGTGGTTAAACTTGAAAACAGAGTATACATGTCTAAAAAACATTATTTAGAAAAATGGGGAAAAAAGCCAAATAAAATGGCATGCATTTTCTTGGTTATAAATAGCAATAATTTGTAAGATGGGATTTTGACATTTATAAAAGAAAGCATAATGTGCCAGTCACAGCTGATTAAAGATTAAAAGGTGCAACCAAAAATAATTGCTTATGGCTCTTCTAGAAAGCTGATTTGTTTTAAAGTAAAGAGAAAAAAATTTATCAAATGTCTGTTATTTCAAAATGTAAATGTAAACATTATTTCAAAATGTTATTTTAGAGCTAGAATTTATACAATGTCAGATTACATCAAGGGGGTTATGGTGGGCAGAATGATGCCCAGTGATGTCATGTCCTAGTCTTCAGAACCTGTGAAATATTACTTTAAATATCAAAGGGACTTGTCATGATTTGGTAAGAATCTTGAGATGGGAAGATTATCCTGGTTTAGACGGTGGGCCTTCTGTCTTCACAAGGATTTTTACCAAAGTGGAAAGGGGAGGCAGGGAGGCAGAGTCACAAGAGGCGATGATTTAAAGCAAAGGTTGATGTTGCCATGAGCCAAGGAATGCCAGAAGTTTCTAGAAACTGGAAAAAGCTCAAGGATCAGATTCTCTCCTAGATCCTCCAGAAGGAACACAGCCCTGTTGACACCTTGATTTTAGCCCCAGACACTCATTTTGACCCTCTGACCTCCCGAACTGTAAGATAATATATTTGGGTTGTTTTAAGTCACTACCTTTGTATGGCGCATTTGTCACAGCAGTAGGATATGAGTATGGAGTGCATCCATATTTTGATGAAACTACGTTCAGAAGAAAAGTAAATGTTATTGTCTAGCAGTTGATTTTAAATGTGTTGTGGCTCATTTTGACTACTTAAGACATTTTTGTGTTTAATGTTGATAATAAGTTTATGCTTTTTGTCTGTGGTTATAAGCTCTGTACTGGTAACCTAAATATCTCTTGGTTTTTATTATGAAGGTGACATACTTAGTAAGGCCAAACAGTATGCAGTTTGGGTATAGAAAGATCTACCTCAGGGCCTCTCACCCTGAAGTGACTAATTCTTGGTGGCTTCTGTGTATCCCTCAGTAAGAAGTGCATTTTTTGTTTTGACAAATTCAGGCTCTTAGATAATCGAAAGGATTTCAGTAATTCCTTAGTAATCATTTCTTGGATCAGTCATAGTTTCCCCAGGGGCAGCAAGGTTTTGGGTGTGTTGGTTTGATGAGCTAACATTTAAACCGTCATCAGCGACGTGTTAGTCCCAAGCCTCTCCTGATCGAATCAGATCTTCCAGATGTTTGTCAGAGAAATTAGGCGTACACTGCACTGAGATGTTTCAAAAGTTTTAACTGTGCCTGCTGAAAATCAGTTTCCATCTAACAAGCAATTGAATGAATTATACAGAATACCCTGAAGTGGTGTTATCATACTTTGTTCCTGAACATATCACGTGCGTTAGCTAGTACGTATGTAACCACGGAAGTAATTAGCCCTAACGTGTACACCATCAGCCTTTGTCGGTTAGCTTCTTAAAGTTTATATCCTATAGTATGTTTAAAATGAGGATCTGAACTAGGGTAATGGCGAGAGCTATATATGTTAGGTTTGATCACACCAGGAGGATCTTTAGATAATACAGTGCAAGAGAAGAGGGGAAGTAAAAACTACCCCAGGACGTTATTTAGGGGGGAGAAGTACTGTCCGTTTGGTTAGCAAGAATAGAAGGAAAGGCATGGGAATAAAAATTTCAAGTTTCCCTACGGTTAGAGCCTGTGGGGCTATGCAGGTGCTAAGAAGAGGCTAGAAATTGTTAATTACAACTTAACAATTACATTAAGTTGTTTAAAAACTAATTATTTCTTGGGGAGCCTGGCTCAGTCAGTTGAGTATCTGACTCTTGATTTTGGCTCAGGTCATAATCTCAGAGTCATGGAGCCTGCTTAGGATTCTCTCTCTCTCTCACTCTCTTCCTCTGCCTCCCCATGCTAAATAAATAAATAGGTAGATAGGTAGATAAGTAAAATTTAAACATTATTTCTCTTAAGCATGAGAATGTTTTCTGGATTTGTAACATTTGTATATTCTGGAGATATCTTAAATATTTCTTAGAATTGTTCAGTTTCTTATTCCTGTATCATGGTATAATTTGGCAATTTTGTATGCTTAAGAGCATTTTCTTTCTACTTCCTCATTTTCTCTCCCTCTTATGTGGGGTGTTTAAAAACTCTAATTCCATTGCATTTTTATCCATTATTCTTATTCTGCTTTTTGCCTCTTTTTACATAAATTAAAAAAATTTTTTTTCTCTGTTTCTCCATTATTTAAAAGTAAATTAATAATCAAAGTTTTCCCCCAAACTTATGCAGTTAACTTCTTTGCATGCTAGGTTTATTTTTTATACTAATATTCCATATATAAGGCAATTTCAAGTGCTTTTAAGTTATTTTACTTTAAAAAAATTATTTTAGTCACGGGTCCTTTGTCTTCCTTGTAAGCCACAATTTGTGTCTTTTTTGTTCAAGTAGCTGTATTTAAAAAACAAAACAAAAAACCGCAAATAGAAAACAACATCTACATGGGATGGAGAACTCCCCCAAATTATTTGTTAGGATTCCTGAAAAAAGTATTAAGATTTCCAATGTCATTTCAACTTTGGAATATGAGATCGAGGAAGGCAAATTACTTGTCTTGAATTTTTTTTCATCCAAATGTATAATTATTGTATTATTTTTAGTTTGACAGCTATTGTAAAGTAAGAGTATTGGATGAATAAACTTAAAGTTTAAAAAATGAACTAGTCAGAAAAGTAGAAAATAGTAATTTTCAACAAGCTTGTCATTTTGTATTTGTCACATGTCATTTGGAGAGGTTATTGGAAAAGCCACAACCACCAAAGGGGTAGGGGGTTGGGGGAGAAGAAGAAACTGGGAGAAGATTGAGTCTGAGGCATCCTTAGGAGAATGAATCCAAGCAGTTAAGAATCAAATAGTCAAAATGAGGGACGCCAAGTTGAAATAAAATTCTAGTGATTAGATGGTTAGTAAATGTTTGGCAAATGATTCAGGAGGAAAGGCCATAAGATTTAGCAATCAGGGGGTTAGTTTATCAGTGTTATTTAAGAGTGTAATTTTGGGGGCACCTGGGTGGCTCAGTGGGTTAAAGCCTCTGCCTTCGGCTCAGGTCGTGATTCCAGGGTCCTGGGATCAAGCCCCAAATCAGGCTCTCTGCTCAGCAGGGAGCCTGCTTTCTCCTCTCTCTCTCTCTCTCTCTCTCTCTCTCTCTCTCTCTCTGCCTGCCTCTCTGCCTACTTATGATCTCTGTCTGTCAAATAAATAAAATTTTTAAAAAAATGTAATTTTGGGGGCACCTGGTGACTCACTTGGTTAATGATCTGACTCTTGATTTCAGCTCAGATCATGATCTCAGGGTCCTGGGATTGTGTCCTGCATCAGGCTCTGTGCTTGGGGAGGGAGTCTGCTTGAGGATTCTCTCTTTCTCCCTCTGCCCTCTCCCACCCACTCACTCACTCCTGCCACACACTCTCTCTCTCTCAAATAAATAAACCTTTTAAAAATATATAATTTTGTTTGTTAGACTGAGTTATAATGCAGTGAAATAAATACCAAGCTTGCATTATTAGATGACCTAAATGGGAAGATTTATGGCGTCACTTATTTGCTCTCTATCCTTATAGGAAAAAGTCACTTAGCCTCTCAGCCTCAGCTTCCTTATTAGATAATCAGGAGATATACTTCTACAAGAGTGTTTTGACTATCCCCTAGCACAATGTATTTGAAATGCTTTGTAAGTTTTTATGCATTACCACACATTATGTGACTGTTTCACAGAATGATGATATGGTAGGAGCTCTAAATGACAGTTATTGAAGGAGAGGATCATTTCCAGGGAAAAGAGGCAGTGAACACAGATCATGTAGGTATTTGCCATGGAAAGGTGAGAGGGAGATAGTTTGAGGGAAGCGATGGTTAAATGAATGGAGAAAAGGAGAGGAAAGACACTGGTCAGGATGCAGGGAGCAGAGCTGTCCTCCCTCCCCATGATTTTAGAATAATTTGTATCCATTTTATACAGAAATAATAATAAATACTAATTTTTAAACAAGCTTAAGAAAATGACATTCTGTTAGTGAGTGAGTGGACTATGATCCTGAATTCAGTTTCTGGCATCGGTCTTCCTTTCTTCCTTCAGAACTGCAGTGCTCAAACTTCAGTATCCGAAGAACTACCTGAGGTGATTACCTAAAATGCAGACTTCCCAGCTTCTATCCCCTAGAGAGTCTGCATCAGTAGGTTTCATATGGGGCCTGGAATCTAGATTTTTAAAAAATGTCTCCAGTATTCTTGATGCAAGTGTTTGGTAGATGATACTTAAAACCATGTTGATTTCAAAGATTCAACCTGAAATCACCTGTGCTACCAGCTGAAGGAGGAGGTCTTAGAATATTGGAATATTGTAGGAGATGCAATTTTTATGTAGAACATCATGGTAGCCCAGTCTCAGCAATCCTCTTTTGTAAACTAATTTACAGCAGTAACAAGACACATTTAAGCAGGATTATAGAATAATGGGATGCCTGGGTGGCTCATTTGGTTCTGTGTCCAACTTTGATTTCAGATCCGGTCATGATCTCAGGGTTGATGAGATCAAGCCCTGTGTAGGGCCCTGTGCTGAGCGTGAAGCCTGCTTGAGATTCTCTCTTGCCCTCTCCCTCTGCCCCTCCCCTGTTTGTGTGTGTGCACTTTATCTCTCTCTCCAAAATCATATGGAATAAGTTTAGAATACCTATATAAGAAAATATGGAAGAACTAAAACATTTGATACAATTTT